GAAGCTTCTGCCACCTTCCCAAAAATGCCATCTAATTATGAATTAACCAATAAATCATCCATTGGTTATTGGACCTCAGGGTCCGGTCACTTTTCAATGATTAGATCCACCATGTAGGGACCAAGTCTTTAGCACATGAGCCTATGGGAGATGCCTCATTCCAAATGATGGCATTCCATGACTGTGGTAAACAGAGGCAGCCACAGGACAAGCAGAACACCAAAAATGGGCTCCACGAGAAGGCTGGATGCATCCCTCACACCTGCCCCAGATGTTGCAGTGACCCTGATGCATCCAAACACCAACAAGAAGAAGAAAGGCCTTTCCTGAGCACCAGGTATCCCTTGGTATCCTACGTGGGTCACCTCTGCACCATCTTCCATACTGGAGCTCAGAGACTTGCCGTAACTTGCCCAAAGCATCACAATAACCAGAGACCCTCAGCTTTGAATCTAGACCTTCTTTCAAATCCCAGACAGGATTGGACAAGTCCCAGGACTCTCTAACTCCTAGCCCAGGGAAATTTGTGGCACCTCCTCACTTGTTTTCAGAAAGTTTTCAACAAACTTAGTGGGCATATGAAATAAAATAATGCACACCAAACAGTACCATCAATGGGAAAACATATTACAAATATAAGACACTGCTATTTATTTTTTTACCAGCACAACTATGTTTATTGCAGCATTATTCACATAGCTAAGATATGGAACCAACCCAGATGTCCCTCAGTAGATGAATGGATCAGGAAAATGGTATATCTCATGGAATTCTATGCCTTCATCAGAAAGAATGACACCGCCCCATTTGTGAGAAAAAATTTGTTGGAAAAAATTATATTAAGTAAATAAACCAGGCCCAAAGAAACATAGGTCCCATGGTTTCCCTTATTTGCAATAACTAGTATATGTCTAGGACAAGCAGAAGAGGTCAAAAACTATGTACATATGACCATATAATCTGATGCTAAGCAAAATGAACCCCAGGATAGGGACACAAGAGGTTTTACCTTTATTGCTGTCCTTTTTAATGTACTTATAATGTACTATGTGATTTTTTTTTCTTTGTACGTTCTTCCCCCATGGTACAACCCTGTTGTCACTGTAATTGATTCTAGTGTCCTGCATCTTGTATATACATTTTTCTAATTTGGGAAGGGGAAGGGAAATAACAAAATGCTGAAATAAGGATACAGGATGACCCATTGCAAGAATGAGATGTACAAGAAAGTATGTTGAAAACAAACTTTACAGCTTTGTGGGGGGGGGCAGTGTGGGAGACGGGAGGGAGGAGTTGGGAAGGTAGGGAGGAAAGGGATGGTAGGGGAAAAATAAAGGAAGGTGTAACAATGCTCGATAGGAAATGGACTCATTACCTTGCTCATGTAACTGTAATTCCTCTGTACAGTATCTATACAATAAAAATATATTAAGAAAAAAATGAAAGATTTGTACGAGTCTTTGAGTAGTATTGTCCTCTCATAGTTCAAGCATAAGAAAGGTGTGAAAATTACAGTTTGGAAATATTTTGAGTCCACTTCAATGGTTTCTGGAATTTTCTTTAGACCCATCCATACTCCTGCATTTTCACTTGTTTTTTTTTCTATTGACTTGTAAGCGACGATCAATCAGGTTTTGCTTTTCATCTAACCCAGCCTTGTGGAACATATGGTGGACTTCTTCTCCTTTTGTAAAGAAATACTCTCTGGTACCATCTCCTTGAACATAAAAATTTTCAGATAAACTGCCCTTTTTTAAAACGAAGTTGAGTCTTATATCTTCCATAGTCCCGAAATAACAGCATTCCCCCAGGCTTCAGTAACTCAGAGTCCGTTGACAACTTCTTGCATCCTGTCAGGATGAATAGAAGAGAGCACAAAGACAAGGAGGACCAGGAAAGGGTAGGGCAAGCCATCATCACACACCTCGTGCACAAAGGTAGAACGCTGGGCAGCCCTGTAGGATAAGTGTGCCTTTGACAAGCTCCACAGCTCCAGAGGCAAAATCACAACAATAGAGAAAGGATTTTGGAAGATTCTGCAAGGTGTTCAGAATTGGAAAAACACTGCTTCCAGCACCACAGCCAACCTCCAGTATTCTGCAAGTGGTATTGCTACCAGGAAACACTTCAGTCTTCTGAACCTCTTTCCTGGCTTCTTCAGGCTCCAATGGGAAAGATCAGACCTCGGTTGGCTTTGACCATCTGATAAACCATTTTTCTTGATTTTTTTTTGTTCTTGTTTTCTTGAGAAACAATCTGCAGCATTAGTCTTGACATGATCCCATGAGAACTCTTCTACGTTCTCTTCCATCTTTTGATCAACTGAATGAATTTCAGGAAATTCCCTCAACAGCCAATTACGATTCTTGAAAAACTTATTCTTGTGAATCTTGTAAAATGTGTCCCAATATTTGTTAGCTTCACTTTCATACTTAACTTGCTTTTCTAGAAGGACTTGCACAGCTGAACTTTCTTAAGACTTTCTTCTTTAGACCATTGCATGTGATCCCTTTGGAGGGTCACGCTCAACACCCCCATGCCTTTGGTTACTGGCCCTCTGGGTTCGAGCCTGGGCTTACAGGCTTACAGGGTGCCAAGGGAGGGGTTTCAGAGGGGATGGCACACTGGGAAAACGGGCCTCGAGGCAGCAGCAAAGCATCCGAGGTCTCCCAGGGTACCGTGCACACTCCCAGAAGACGCCCTAACTCCACTGCTATTTATTCTTTTGTAATTTAGGTCACAAACAGTTATTTTGCCAATTTTTCACAAAAAATAAATAAAATGCATTACCATCAATTATCCCCATGGCTTCATAATAGAAAGATGATTTTAATGCCAAACATTGAAGGCAGGACATAATTGTGGAATTATGTGGGAAGCAAGCCTCTCCATTGAAGATATTCTCCATTATGGAAGCACACATTGCAGTGTTGTTTTTCTCACTGCCGAAAATAGTGGGCTGATACTTGGGCATCGCTAGCCTAGACACACTCCAAGATTTATTTCAGCTACAAAATTCTTCTGTACATCAAACTGTTATTCTCTACTAAATAAAAATATATCTCCCTAAGGAGCAGAATTTGATGGCAGCCTTCAGCAACATAATTCTGACTAAAATCTATAACGATGACACAAAAAAAGACTTTACCTCTATTGAAAAACAATTTTTTAGCCAGGCCCAGAAGACACTAACCAACCTGTCAGTTCAACTGTGTCTGTGGGAAATAGAGCTGTAGCTGGGTGAGGTACAGACAGACCCCCCCACACACACCATGGCTTGATGTGTTTTTCACTTCCAGGATGCTCATGTGGCTTCCTCTTCCTAAGGCCCAACACTGACAATCTAAGCTCTTTTCCTCTCCTGCATTCCTCAGGAATGTGGCCACATCCGGGAATTCATCCTGGCTTTTACTTTGTGATGGTCTGACATCGTGGAGAAGCTGCTCCTCCTGCAGCTGGTTTAATTGATAGAAATTAAACCACTTGCCCATGAAGATGCCTTTCGAAAGTAGCCAATCATACCCAACGCACACCTGACCACAGATTTTAGCTAATATTCACTTACCAAGCCAGTATTTTCCCTGTTCCAAGGGTGCTGTGTATCCCAGAGCCCTCCTGCATGATTGAAACAAGCTGAGCCTAAGCCGTACCCTGCCTTCCTTTCCTTCAGAAACCTCTATGGTCCAAGCTGGGACCCATGCTTTCCTCTCACTCCTCTGTGCCCCATGTGCCCTTCCTGGCATGGTGTGACATGTTCCTTCTCTTGAATTCCATGTAAAAAAATTATTTTAATTCAATTAGCCTATGGATTTTTGCAGGAGCATTTTAATTCCCCCCACCTCGCTGGTTCTTCCTGTTTCTCTGTGTCTCTCTCCCTCCCCTCCCTCTCCCTCTCCCCCCTCCCTCTCCCCCTCCCCTCCCTCTTCTTCTCCCCCCTTCTTCTCCCCCTCCCCCTCCCCCTCTCCCTCTCCCTGTTCCTCTCCCTCTTCCTCTCTGCCCTCTTTTGGAGATGCCACTGACAGAAGAGCCTTCATGTACACAGCCCCCCTTGTAGTGGGGACTTTGCCTATGAATCACATCTGATGTCAGGAAACTCTCCTGAGGCCTGGCACCTGCTCAGGAGCAAGGACTGGTGTTCTTAGCTCCCTTTCCTGCAACTCAGCAGCACCAGTGGGAAGAGCTTTCGGGAAGGCCTGGAGCGGAGGAACAGTGGGCTCAACCCGCAAAGCTGCAACCACAGCTAAGAATAACAGGGGAGAGGGGTAAGGGAAGAACTGAGCGTGTGTGCACATCTACATGCGTGCATGTGTATACACACACACACACACCCTCCCCGATCCCAGCCTCATGTGAAACTCAACACTACCAATAGTGAAGACACAACTCAGGCTCTGCCCCTCTTCCACCCAGGGATCCAGGGGGAAATGGACATATTCTTAGCACAGCTTTCCTGGGCCAAGTCTTGTGCTCTCTGAGGAAACAGGCAGAAGAAAACCAGTAAGGCCAGTGGGACACAAAGAATGACAAAGACAGGTAACCCCAGAATTCAATCACAGGCCCCAGGTTCTAAAGAGATGGCCTCTTTGGGAAGAGGTTTTAAGGGCTGTGACCCGTGGCCAAGCCTTGAATGGCCCATTCATTCTCAGTGGCTTCTTAAAGTTGTCACCCAAAGGAGATGCCCACAGAAATGTTGGAGGGCCATCCCCACAGTCCTCTTTCCAATCAGCAGGCTTCCTGTGGTCCCAACTTCGCTCCCTCTCTACCTCCAGCAGCCTCACGCTGCCATCTCTCTGGCCTTCCTTTGAGCTTCCCACCACGAGGTAACTCAGAAACTCAGAGGAGCAGCCCCAATTCCAATCGCATGACCCCAGGCCCTCCGCTTCTACCTATGGGTGAGGTAAGAAAGAGCCCCCATCCTCTGGTCTTGGAGTGGGTGAAGCGGCCAGGACTGAGGGGCTGGGACCATTTGGGAAAGAAAGGACTCGCGCAGAATAACTCACGCTGCTTCTCCTGCAGAAGGCTGGATGTGCATGACACGGCCCCTTCCCCTGTGGAAACAAAGAGATCGTGAGCACACCAGCACCGCCTCCCCCCGTGTTCCCTGGGCCGCTTCGGTCCCTTGCTGGACTCCAGAGCTGGTGTGAACGGCCCTTCCCATCTTGTTCCATCTGCCACAGATGACAGCTCATGACCTTTGCACAAAACCCAGCCTTCAACAGTGCCTGATGGCCTCATTTCTGCCCAGACCTTCTCACAGCCATCTCCACTGACTCCTCCCCTTTCTTCCCCTCCATTAAGCAGCTGCTACAGTCTGCCCACCCTCACTAGGGGCTCTCAGGTGAGGAGAGGGCTGGCAATGGTCAAACCTCTCTCTAGGCTTTCTCTTAAGTTCTTGGCCAGGCTCTCTTGCCACCCACCTGGATGCCCAGCTGGTGCCTCTCACTTACCATGACCAGGTCTTCCTAAATGAGTCTGAGCTTTATCCTCCCCCAAAAAGCATGTGTCTGTGGCTCCTCCAAATCACCATTTCTCTGAGGAAGGGCTCCCTGGCTCCCAGGGAAGCCACCTCAGGTTCTCCTGGAGCGAGGAATGTTCTTGACACAAAGCAGGTGCTACCTCCCTCCAGGAGCCCCCAGACATGGCACACCAGCTCACCACTGGGCCTACGCTCCCCTCTTTTCCTGGCCGTGCCTGGCTTCCACATAGAACTGTTCCAGATGCCACACAGGAAGACACCCTGGCCCCATCTCCACAGTCTTCTCCGTGTCTCTCCCCCTGGGGGCCACATGCCTATGACACAGTGTGGACCCAGTGCTGACCAGGGGCCTGTGTGTACTGAACCAACATGGGTAGTACCACAGCATGCATTGCTAGGTCTTTCACTGAGTCACTCTGCCTCTGGGCAAGTCACACAGCCTCTTTGTTTCTATTTTCTAGTTTAGAAAGTAGGGATAAGCCAGGCACTGGTGGCTCATGTCTGTAATCCTGAGTACAGATACTGAGATAGGAGGATCACAGTTCAAAGCCAGCCTAAGCAAGAAAGCCCAAGACTCTTATCTCCAATGAACCACCGAAAAGCATGAGCCTTGAACAAAACAGCTCAGAGATGGGGGCCAGGCAGGCTGTGAGTTCAAGCCCCAGTACAAACACCTCCCCTCCCCCATACACAAAAGGTGCTACCATGTAAAAACTTTTCTACTGCCTGGAGCACAGAGACACTCCAAAGGGAAATTTGGATCCCCTCCAGCCCCAGGGTCCCAGCTCCCCCAACTTGGTACATAGGCACTGGGATTCACCAGCTCCAAGACTTTCCACTGCCAGCCACCAGATCCTCATACAATGCCATGGCCGGGAGCTGGGAAGCTGAGCAGAATACCTGTCTCCCAGCCTCAGGCCTGTGACAGTGTAGTACCCTTGTTTGCTTGGATCCAGGGCAAACAAGAGCAGTGCACCCTCCGGCCAAGAGCACCAGGTTCCCAGAAAAAGAGGGGAGAGGCCGGCTCCCTATGAATCACCTTGGAACACACTCTGGTGCTGCCAGTCCAGGGCAGAAAAACTTCTCTACCTACCTCCAGCACTGCCTGCATCAGGAGAGACCAACAACCCACAGGTAAGGGTCAGGACCAGGCAGCAAGTGGGATGAGGAGCCAGAGATCCAGAGAGCAGAAAGCCAAGGCCCCATTCCAGGAGGTTCTGAGGGGGTGCAAGGCAGGACCCACGTGCCACAGGCACCTGCCCCCAACATATATCCCACCAAAAGTTCACATATAAAACATGAAGGAAGAGCCAGGCGCTGGTGGCTTACGCCTGTAATCTTAGCTACTCAGGAGGCTGAGATCTGAGGATCACGGTTTAAAGCCAGCCCAGGCAGGAAAGTCCATGAAACTCTTATCTCCAATAAACCACCAGAAAACCAGAAGTGGTGCTGTAGTTCAAGTGGTAGAGCGCTAGCCTTGAGCCAAAGAGCTTAGGGACAGCGCTCAGGCCCAGAGTTCAAGCCCCGTGAAGAACAAAAACATGAAGGTAGAGATATGGTGATTTGGAATTCAAAACAGTAAAGCCTTTTGAGTACTGTTCACAGACCTTAATACAACAGATGCCTCTGATGTTTCTTTTTCTTTCTCTTCTTTTTTGCCAGTCCTAGGCTTTGAACTTGACGCTTAGATGCTGTTCCTGAGCTTTTTGCTCAAAGCTGGCCAGTTGAGCTGTAGCTCCACATCCCACTAAATTGGAGGTAAGAGTCTCACAGACTTTCCTGCCTGGGCTGGCTTCAAACTATGATCCTCAGATCTCAGCTTCCTGAGTAGCTAGGATTACAAGTGTGAGTCCTAGGTACCCAGCTGTGTTTATTGGGCTCCTTGTGCATGTCAAGGCCTGGGGGAGGAAAGCACCCAGATGAAGGTCAGTCTGGGGTTTGTTCATCGCCTCCAAAGGCCTAGGCCCCACCCATCTCAGCTCCACAGCTACATCTTTTATGAGCCCCTGTTCCCATTCATTCATTCATTACCACAAAGCAAACATAGCTTGAAGCCAGGACAGGATTCTCAGGGGACTAAAATGCCTGATGGAGGCTGAGAGCTAGGCTGCAGGAGTAAAGAGAATGATCTTAAAATGCTGGTGCGTAGGTTGCTGGGAGCAGGGAAAAGGGCGTGTTGGGGAAGGAGGTTGGAGCCAAACTCTGGGGCACCTCTCAGCCAGGCAGGAGTACACCCACAATTGTGTAACATGTTCATGCTGCACCTGGGCTTGCAGGTGCTTCATGCCCTACCCAGTGTCTCACCACACACACACACACACACACACACACACACACACACACACAC